CTGCCGTTTTGGTTTACGGCAGCCCTTTGAGGAGAAGTTTCGTCCCGCGAAAGAAATCGCCCACGTGAGCCCCAAATAGGAATCCTGAGCCAAAAGTCAAACCCAGAATCGCGAAATATTGACAGAGCCACTACCACCCCGCTGCGTAAAATCACTCACTCACGCTCTTCCTCACTCGATTCAAAGACGTGACGTGTTCTCAAATAGCCGCTTAGATGTGTGCTTAAGCTACTTTTAATATGAAAAAAAAATCTTACATTTGTCATTTGTGTCCCAAGTTTGGAAAAACAAAGACATGAAAGAAAGAAACATGTACTTCGCATCTTTCCAAAATAAGAACCTTTCATCGAAAACATTCATTTACACACTGCCAAATGCAATTCGGCCATTTTATCCAATCAGAAGTACAAAACAAATAGGCCTAAAGGAGAACTAAATTGCAAAGAAAAAGGCAGTTTAAAAAAAAAAATAGCCACATTCCTGCAGACAGGAAACGAATGCGGGTCTCTGCACCGAACTTGCGGCGACAACTCAAGTATGTGTGCGGCTCAGTTGGCATGTGCCAATTCACGATGTGAGACGACGGAGCTGTGCAAAAGAATCGAAGGGTTGAGCGTCTCATTATGAAAGCGGGAAAACAACCCTTTTGGCTCTTTTCCCCGAGCTGTCTGCGGGGCTGCTTTAATACACTTCGACGGGTTGGCGAGCAAGTAAAAAGACAGGAGTGTGAAAGTTTAATGAGAAGCCCACACAATAGCATTATTCACAACACACACACACACTTTGATGAAAGAGGTAATTTTACCTGGGTAAGCAGATACCTCCAGTCCTCATCCATCACATCCGTGAGGTAAACGACTCCTGGGCAACGGCCCCGTGAGGCGCTCGTTGCCATGGCAGCAATACAGTCAGCCAACAATGCCGTGAATCTTATCTTCACGTCGTGGCTGGGCCGTTTATTTATTCAACTGCAGAAAGGAGAAGCCATTTAACAATCTTTCCACTAATAAGTGGCAACAAGTGCAGGGCTGCCTTGATATACACATTGAAAAAAAATGTTTATAAAGTGATGCAAAAAAAAAAAAAATGTGCCCTATAATATTGTAGGGTCCTGAATCAATATTTTTTTTATGAATTCAATGGACATTGTGCTACTCCCTCTCCTTTTTACACTCAGGCCAAAGCCTTGTCGAGTATAAAAGTATTGCTCGGGCGCCATCCGGTGGCAGGGGAGGAGTTTGATTTTTTTTTTTTTTTTTGTCAAGCCATAGCGCCGTCTCATGGAAAAGTAGTGCTTTGCCGCCATCTTGTAGCATCTATAGGCTCCTTGGGGTTAATTTAGACAGGGCTACGCCATCAAAACGAGCGAATTTCAACAAGACAAGAAAGGCTGTGTAACATGTGCTTTAATTCAAAGTCCTTGTGATATTTTAAGGAGTCTGTTATTACATCTGGGAAATGTTTACAATTTAAGCATCGAGTCTCCTTTTAGTCAACGATTCAAATGTCTTGCTGCTCTTGTTTGGTCTCGCATCCATTTAGAAACCAGAGAGCTAATTTTAGAAGCTTTCATTTCTCTTTATATAGTTTTGCACTCCTGCAAACTACCGCGCGATTGTGTTGAGCGTGCGGGCTTGCGCAGGGCAGCAAACGGGTCGTTTTAAAGGAGACGGCGGCCGTTTGATGCGGCGGCGAGGCAGCTGGAAGACATCACGAGGGAGTGGGAGGCAAGGCGATAAACATATGCGACTATATATGTACAGTCAGACGGGCTGTGTGATGTAGTGGCCACACCTGTTGAAAACTGTGCATGCGCTCTTTAAAAACTTCTTCCCGGAAGGCGCAAAATGAGTTTCTACGCTTATTTCACACATTTGAAAACAATTGCTTGAACTCCATTGTGCCTCACTTGCGTCAAGACATGATTAATGAGCAATTGACGCCTCAGACGCGGCGTCATTTTCCTCTTAGTCATCAGTGTGTCAGAAAGGCTGCAGATGACATTTGAATATGCACCGCCTTCGGATCGTACCGCGCCCCATGTTTCGCGATGCGTATCAAATCGTCTTATGAGGATCATCAGGTAGAAGTCAGTTCGATGTCGCTGATGGGTTGTTGTTTGAGTTAAGGACAAGCATTCGGTTTTATCATAATGGGGGTGGCACGGTGTATGATTGGTTGGCACGTCCGCATCACAGTGCGGAGGTGCTGGGTTCGATTCCGGCTCTGGCCTTCCTGTGCGGAGTTTGCATGTTTTCCCTGTGCAGGCGTGGGTTTTCTACGGGTACTCCACTTTCCTCCCACATTCCAAAAACATGCACGGCAGGTTAACGGAACACTCAAAATTTTCCCTAGGTGTGAGTGAGTGTGAGCGCGGATGGTTGTTTGTGTATGTGTGCCCTGCGATTGGCTGGCAACCAGTTCAGGGTGTCCCCCGCCTACTGCCCGAAGACGGCTGGGATAGGCTCCAGCAAGCCCCGCGACCCTTGTGAGGGTAAGAGGATCAGTAAATGCATGGATGGATGGACTTACTTCTTTTGTAATGGCACTACCTTACCACAAGAGGGCAGTGCTGGGCAGATTGGCTTTCACTGTGGAGTCACTAACTTGAAGATGAAACTGTACCACTCATGTTCAAGGTCATCTAAGTTCATCCGCAGTGATTACTCGTGTCATTGTTTTGCAGCGAATGTCATTCATCTGGCAGCTTGTGCACTTTAACAGCCGCACATCCAGTCAAAACCTTAATGGCGTCTCGGTGTGGTCACCTTGGCGACCACTCTGAGGAGGCCACACGTCACACGCGTGCCGTTAATGTGCATGCAGTGTGTGCTGGGCTTTGATCACAATGTATCTGGGCCACACTCTCTCTCTCTCTCACACACACGCACGCACGCACTCAAAGGCTTACGGTGCTGAATGCGATGCATGTTGCGGGTGTGGTTGCGCTGGTGAGCTCCATCATGTCTCTCTCAGGCTCCACGGCTGCCATTGCTGATTATTTCACAAACACAGGCAGGGGGAAAAGCTGGAGTGATGTCATCTCACTCCTGTCATTCCTTCAGGGGTGTAAACACCCAAAAAGCAGAAATTGAGACTCCATCTCGAAAGACTCTCAGCCTCAAGCAATTAAACGCGGGGAGAGGCTTATAAATTCTTCACTGAGACGCATAGAAGCTCCCCCACACCCACTTTCTTCTCCGCACTGTGTAAATCATCTTTTTTTATGGGAGGCTTTTTATCTATCGAGTGTTGGGGGGTGGGGGGGGGGAGTCGAGACACGATCAGGATGACCATGATTTCATCCCTGCCCTCTGCCTCGTGGCCATTTTGTTTTCCGATGAGTAATATTCCGTTTCACAAGACCCGAAGTGATCTGTTGTCGGCGGCCTCGCTCTGGAGAGCTGCTATTGATCGGTGGTCAAAATGACGGCGCCGTGATCTGGAAATCATCAGGGGCCCTCAGACAAACTTATTGTGATACCTTCGTTTTCATCTTTGTCGTTTGAGGATTGTAGTGTACTTAACGACTAATCTGCGCATTAGCCGATTGCCCCACGGACATACGGTACTCCAACTTGCTGCGCCGTAAAAACTGTGTTTTCGAGAAACAAGTTTGCGAGGTGTGTCACATATCCTGAATTGATTTAAAAAAAAAGATGTTCTTAAACCACAAGCTACATGGCATGGTTGTCAATAAAAATTGCATATTTGCCTGGCCGCTGTACTTCCATTAAAGCAATACAAAGACAGAAAACGGCTGAGGACATGCATGATATTTGAGAGGATCCCATTCATTGAATATACTCATGCATTTCCGTGACGGAGACTCCCTACGCTTCACTTTTTCACCATAGGTACATGTAAAATTATAAATATAACACGCACATTGGTCCGACTTGGTGGCTACGCGTCCCTTCAGATTAAAACATAAACGTTCTCATCATTGCAGCCACGCGAATGAGCGCCGGTGAAAATGAGCCGAGGCGACGAGCTTTTGTCGACGAACTTTTCCAATCTTCCGTCACTGCCTTTTTATTGGAGTCGCATATCGCCTCTCTGACAGCTCCATTGATGGCCGGAGGCTCCCGAGCGACGCATGTAAATCATCGTGCGAGCTACGCGACGGCACAATCAGCTGTGAATGCTCCACTTTGGAGCGGCGGAGAATGGGAGGGGCACCTTCCTATTTACACACGCATACGCACGCACACACATTTCATCGTGGATGCTGGCGTCTCTGTCTTGAGCAGCTGGATTTGGAGTGCTCGTGGATCATGGCTGTCAGTCAGCACTGATTCAGCACTAAAGAGGGCAGGGGGGCTCAGGATATTGAACAAATGACGATGGACATAGGGGGGGGGGGGGGGGGGGGGGGGGGGGGTGAGTGTCCCCAAAAATGGGGAACAGCGTCCAGAAGCGGAAGAAGGTGGAGACGGAGAAAAAGCCCACTGCACTCTGGGAGAAACCAAAAGGCTTCTGGCTGCTTGGACGAACAGACAAACTCAAGACAGGTAATCCCTCAACCTATTCGATGTTACTTTGAATGCATTCATCATCATATCAACGTTAAAAAGCGGCAAAAATATCAATCCAAAATGCAGTACAGCACCGGGGAATTGAGCGCATGTGGGAAATGAGCTTTCGGCTTGGGAAGAAGTTGCAGTGACCTGGCGTCACATGAGTCATCGTTCTGCATGCTTCCTGCTTATTGCACAAGTTTTCTGTGTTGTGTGTGGCACCATTCACGCAAGCTTATCTTATCCCCCACTGACGCCTGTGCCAACAGCCCCTCGAGCAACAGCCGAGCACAGGATGAGCAGGTTGAACGCGCGCTTTTGCGCTGACGCGCAGATTGTCAGATAGTGTGCCTCCGTAGCCCTTTGTTACCATCATTGAATTCTTTATTTTTTTATATCATTATTATTATTATTTATCCATCCATTGTCTTATCCTCACGAGGGTCGCGGGCGTGCTGGAGCCTATCCCAGGTCTGTTCGGGCAGTAGGCGGGGTACACCCTGAACTGGTCGCCAATTTAGAGTGTTCATTAACCTGCCATGCGTGTTTGTGGAATGTGGGAGGAAACCAGAGTACCCGGAAAAAACCCACGCAGGCACTGGGAGAACATGCAAATTCCACACGGGAAGGCCGAAGCCGGAATCAAACAAAGTAGTAACATGTGATGTGTGGCACCACAATAAACTAACGGGTTGAAAATTCCATGACCCCGCTTGTATTTATGTCATTAATATTGCATTATAATAAAGCGGGTGATATTTATTCCACACAAACGAAAGCTACTAATGGGGAAAGTGGATTTAAAAAAAAAAAAAAAAAAAAGCAACATTGTGTTTTGGTTTGACCTCAAAATAACAACTTAGTTGATGGTCCACTGGCTTCTAATGAGGTGGTTGCCAGGGCAACCACGCATTGCCTACTTTCATGGTTTATAGTCTGACCAGCCAAGACACCATTTGAGGTTAGACCAGTGACAATGATGTGTGCATAGCTAAAAGCACAAGAAATACAAATAAGTCCATTTGACACATTGAGACATGTTACTAACTTCACGTTGGTCTTGTTTTTTAGTTGATGGTCCACTGGCTTCTAATGAGGTGGTTGCCAGGGCAACCACGCATTGCCTACTTTCATGGTTTATAGTCTGACCAGCCAAGACACCATTTGAGGTTAGACCAGTGACAATGATGTGTGCACAGCTAAAAGCACAAGAAATGCAAATAAGTCCATTTGACACATTGAGACATGTTACGAACTTCACGTTGGTCTTGTTGTGAGTCATTTGGAGTTTTTAAGTGTTTCACGGTCGTCATATTCTGGAAAATTGCTTTTGTGAGCATGATTTGTAATTGGACCTGAAAATTTGAGCCACTTACCTCAGCAATCTACTCCTCTGGTGAGCATGCTGAAGAAGTTCTTCCCAACCGAGGAACAAAGGTCCTGGTGCTCCCGTACCTGCATATGAGAGACATTTCAAACAACTCAGGTTGCGGATATGGGCCATTCTCACGAATCGCCTCACGCATGGTCACTCATGCAACTTTTCACATGAAATGAATCCCAGTTCCTGTTTATCTGCTCTATTTCACCCCCCCTACAACAACACACAGAGCAAGAGAATATCGTGCAAACATGGAAACATGGCTTGGTGCTTTCTTTTGCAATGTCCTTGACCTTCAAATTTTTTTTTTGGTTTACTTACCTTCCAGTCGGGATCATGACAACGTCTGGCATTACTGATTGACTCACTGTTAAAACAAAAAAGAAAAAAAAAAGAAAAAGAGAGAGGCTTCAGGGATCGTAACGCGGAAACCTGCAGACAGAAGTAGGCCGTGTGAATGCAAAGAAGGAGCTTCCAGTCAGCGGAATGCATCAGGAAGAGAAGAAAAAAAAATGTGTTCGACTCGGCTGCGTCGTTTTCATTATGGTCGCGTCCTGTGCGCGGGTTGCGATATTCAATATTCCGTCACCCCCGCAGGGTCAGGTTCCTCTTTAAGCCTTTGGAGAAATGTAAAGCGAGGCTAAGACGCTCGCTTTGAAGCGCGCATTCACTGCCGACTGCCGTCAAAGTGGGCGACTCCCTGCGGAGAACCGAAGCAGATCAAGAGAGGACTTTTTCATTTGGGGCCATACGGTAACTGGGCTTCTTCCGTCTACAAGATTCGGCAGATACAAATGCACAAATGGTGAACTAACGTTACCCTCCGCTACGACAAAGTCTTGTCGCTTTTAAGCGCCATTTTGATCGAAATGAAGCACTCAAATCACATCAACATAGTTCCTGGGCATTAAGGTGCCAAGAGCTGGCATGACATACAGTGGCACCTTGACATTGATGAATCATTGCGCTCAGTCAAATTTCCTGTCTTGAATTGTATGTAAAAATTTGAGTTTTGGCAGTGAACATTTTCCCCCCCAAAACGATGTCAGGTGCTTCCTTCAATGCCGTTTATTGCCAATCGCAATTTGATTTTACTGTAAAATTAAACAAAACAAAGAGAATCGCACTTTATGCATTTATCAACCACATACCTGTCCGACCAAAGGTTACTAGCTTCATGCTAACACGCAATGCATAGGGCTACAGATAGGCTAACAAAACTAGCAGTGATGTGGCTGTAGTCGGAACCCTGGAAGCAATGGATATTGAACACCAACAGGGGAGCAACACATGAACAGACATGTTAATCGCTTGCATATATTCTTTATCCTCTCTGAGAAACTCTACATACTTCAGGTGGTTTGTCATGACGGTCTTCTTTGTCCAACCCTACCAAATCTATTTGATATCTGTGTGTCCAGTATATGGCCCCCTGGTGGTCGAGGTGCACACAACGGATTTAGTTTTTTTTTTTTGTTGTTTTTTTTTTATGTTTGATTTTGACTTCATGTTCAGCACTTTGTATGCAGCTGTGGCCCTTTTTGAAGTTAAGTTGAATTGAGTTAGTCACACATTCTGACATGGTCTCGCGGTTCTGGCTGCGACGCGCAATTTGTTCATGAATCCGAATTTTGAGGAACACGTCACAACATTTCTGCAATCAAAATAATCACGGTGATGATGAGAACAAATGGTTATAAAAGCGGTGGTGCCGCTCAGTCGTGCGGCTTGAATGTATCTCTGTCTTCACTACAAAAGGACTCACTGTTGGCCACATAACCGGCTTCCTGCATCGCCAGCTAAATCCAATTAAGACGTCATAGCATACACTGCAACACACACACTCTCTCTGCTGCGTGTAACCTCGCTTTTAGCTATTTAGAGTTCCTTTTGTTTTTCTCTCGAGATATCAACCTTATGGGGTTCTTTGCCAGGGCACAGCGTGTTCTTTTTCTCGCAATATTACAACTTGATCTCATAAAATTACATGTTTGGGGTTTGATTATAATTGTTTAGTGTAAAATTATTGTTTTTTTTTTTTGTAAAATTACACCCACCCCTGAAATATCACATATTTTAAGACTCCTTTCCTTGAACAGTATTAGCATTTCTTCTGATGAGATCATGACTTTCTTTTTTTTTTTTTTTAATCCATCTTGAGAATGACCAAAAATATGTTGACACTATTCTTAGAATATCATAACTTTATCCCTCCGATATTTCTGCACATTAGGATCATTTCTGTTTTGGTGTGTTGCGTAAGTAATTCTGTGATCCAGTCATACAAAAACAATTTAAAAAAAAGCGTGCGTGACGTTGTTGCAAAGATGAGCTTGTAGCCTGTAGAGCTCTTGGAATTCGGCTGAACAATCCGTATATTCAGTCATGGCAGTGAGGAGGTCAGGACATGTTGCCTCCGTGTTGGCGAGGTCACAGCGGGCTAGCGAATATCTGTGACGAGCGGATGCTTCTTCAGCTTCGGCGACGCGGGTACAAAAATACACCGCCGCCTTGTTTTGCGTGAGTGTTTTTCGACACTGGCTGAAAAAAACAGATTGTTGGAAATTCATAATAAATGCCGACAGCTGTCAGAGGGCTTGGAGAACTCTTGTAATAGGCCTCTCTTTTGATCGCAAAAAAAAAAAAAAAAAAATCTACAACTAATATGAGGTTCAATTTTTCACTCAGGTTGAGTTTAATTTTTGTTGTTATTATAAAGCCCTAAAATCTGCGGACACACTCAATAAGTGTAAATGATTTGAACATTTTCACGTAAAACCAGCTTGGTGTTGTCATTCATTTCTGTGTCCGATAAAGTTAGTCCAAGAGACAAATGACGAATGAGAAAGGAGGTGTCACCGTAACACTTGGGCGACTTGCAAATTCAATGTTCTGAATTTTCTGCGGGCAGACGACACACGCGTGTGTGACGTTGAGTGTGGCGGACACAAGGCCGCATCTATTCCATCTTAATGCGTTGGGCGTGATTTGCCTGACACACTCCCCCCCCGTCCTTCGCAGCTCGGTTTACAATCTACCGTGACGTGACGCTGCAGAAAAGCGTGGCCGAGTGGCAAAAAGTCCACGTGTGGAAGCTTTCACGGTGTCAAATGCATCAAGTTTGCAGGACGCGGCTTGCCTGATTTGACCCGAGCAGCTGAAGGATGCAGGTCTATCATTATCTCATCAGATGCTAAATGAGTCCATTCATCAGCGGCTTTAAAAATAACTTTTGGGCAATGGCAAAAAGTTCCAGGGGGTAAGGCCTTTGCTTGACACCCTGTCATTTTACCAGGGTCACCCACGCGACTTGACTGCCTAAGAACGTAGTGAACCATTAAAGGACTTTCTGCCTCATTTAAGATTCCATGGCTCTTATGTCGTCGCCTATCATGACCAAAGCCACAAGGGGGCGTATTTGCATCTTGTCATGTGACTGCTATGATCCACTTGGGATGTACAAGTTGTGTTCATGGACACTTCAGCTCAGTTTAGGAGCCTGATGTTAGTCGTGAGTGCGACCATCTTTTTTTTTTTTTTTCCTTCTCCCTTAAGACACACACACATGCCTATGCACCAAACACACACACAAAATAAATAATCTACAAATAAATGCAATACACAGCTCAACACATAACCAAAACACACAAACGGACAGCAAACACACACACACACACAAACAAAACACACACACAGCTACAGGATGTGTGTATCTGGTTACACTCTCTGCTCTAGAGCAGGGATGCAAGGTCACATCCACAGAAGGAAAATAAACATTGTCGTGACGTCTGGGCGTAGCTATCGTTGTGGCCCGTGAGTCTCGCGGCTGCTTGAGAAAAATAAAGGTTTGTAATCTTCTATGGTAGGCAAAAGTTTAGCTTCCCTGCCGATTTCGGAGCAACACGGCAGTGGTATACCTTGCGTACGATGTCGTAGTGATGTTTCCGTGGTGACGCAAGCGTGACTCATGATCCTATCTGCAAAAGATATGAACACACAGTATGTTGATGATTGTGGTCAGGAAGCACATGAAAACACTCTCCGGTCAGTGAGGTCTTTTGGTCCACTGCTCTTCTTACCTTGGTGTCCAGAAAATAAATAAATGAAAGAGAGAACCACCTCCGTTGCATTACGAGTAAAATAAATCTTGCTACCCAGTCAGCAACATGAAACGGCAACAAGGGCATAACCAAGCTTGAATTGCACTCGAATAGATGTGCTAACGAGTTTGTGATTTATGACGTCTTTTCAAGCTGCACTTTAAACAGGCTGTAAAAATAATTTGTTTGCCTTGTCAAAAATGCTTACAAATAAATTGCCATTTATGCTGGTTGGGGTTTTCGAATTAGCATATGTGAGGTCGCGATTATGCGCCAAGATGTTGTTCTCTCGTGCTGTGGAATGGCAAATCAAAGGCATTTGGAACCAAAGTCTGGTAGCCTCCCCTCCGACCCCGTCCCGCAAGACCAGATGGCATCTCTTTAGACCTTCTGATGAATACTGATAAAAGGAGTGGAGTGAAAGAAGGGGTGGGGGTGTTTAACTTGCTTGATTTCATGAGGAAAAGGTGCAACATTTGGAAAGGAGGAGAGACTTTTGGGAGTTAAGAGTGAGACAATGATGGATTGAGATGAGAAAGCGTGTCAGGTTAAGTGACGGGCAGGTGCAGGAGCTAATCCACTGGAATGACGCCCATTCTTAAAGCTGCTCTCACCCGAGTTTGGAATGTCACCAACCGCCTTGCCGAGGCCTGGGGTTGAACTGTGGGCGAACCCCCCCCCCCCCCGAAAAAAAAAACAAGGCGAGGAGAAAGCTTAGCCATAAGCACGGACTTCTTTCTGCACACCCATCCCATCGACGTGATCATTCGAGGCGAGTCAGGACACAGGAGCGACCGGATGACGCCATTAAAAGCTATTTATAAATCAAACAAGACCTCGGGAGCCGCGGGGCTAAAAGGCCAGACGAGAGGCGATGTGAAAGAGGAGAGATTGGCAGCGGCCGGCAGGGAAAGTGATGCGAGGAGACAAGAGGATGATACAGGCGCACCCATTGGTATTGTCCCCGCAAGGACACAACCTCAGCTGCCCCCCTTGCCTGAAGATCATGAGACAAAGCAGACAGGCTGAAGGCATCTATTAGGCAATGGTGAAGTGTGACATGACGACAATTAGTGACAATAACTGCATTCACGCGCCACTGCGTGACCACCAAGCACCATTTCCCGTGTTTTAAAAACAAACCAACTAGAAATCCGTTCAAAGAAACGGTGGTGACATCACAAAACCAAGTTGTCATTTTAAAATAGCCAACTCCAGACTAAAGCCATAACTTTATGATTATAGATTTATCAAGCTAAAAGGTTATAGCTGGAAGAGTTAATTTTCCAATTCCAATTTAATTCGGGATCTTTTTCCCATCACCCTGTTTTTATTGCAAGCCCCAGCAAAAAGAGTAAAATATATCTACATAATCAGCGCAACTTGGGGGGTGGGTGAGCGCGTACATAGACACGTGTCTCTATACTGGGGGTCATGGGGGCGGATGGCGCCTGAAAGACAAACTTGGACAGCTGAGAGGTAAGCGGTGGTCTTTTATTTGACAATAAATGGAGGAGAGCTGAAGAAAAACAGAGGGAGGGAGCGAGGAAGAGGAGGAGGTTGGGGGGGGAGGGTGGTTGCCGGGTATCAGACGCGAGGATAAGGCAGCTGGGCTGGAAGCAGGTTTTATTGTGAGCTCATCTTTCCAGAGCTCGGCGGACGGTCGGGGAGGAGGAAGTTTGTTCGGACCTGTTCTTTATCAGCAATACCTGCAACGTTGGGTCCAGGAATTTTATAAAGTCCAGAGATTTTTTTTTTACTGTTCACCCAAGACAGCTAGTGGAATTCTTGTACTTTGAGACTTTTTTTTTTTTGGGGGGAGGGGGGGGGCATCTGCCATGAGGCCGGTGTAGGGATGGTGATTTATTTGAGGAAGAGCATCCACTCGCTGCTGTCAGTCTTCAAGAAGAAGGGTGAGTGCTGCTTTCTCACAGGATTTCGCTACGGTGATGAATCTTTGTGTTCATGCAAAGAGGACACAAAACCTGGTTGTACAACTTCTACGGCACAAAATAGCTCCCTTCCGCACCCCCCTGTCCCTGCACGGGGGAAAAAAAAAAAACTGGGGGTCTCTCTAATGAGATAAACTGCTTTACTGGCGGCCGTCTTAATCAACCAAAAGCCCTTAGCCTCCTGCACGAGTCTGCTAAATCTTAGAGGCGGGGGGTCTCCTCCTTCATGTAATCCCACAGTGACTCGCTTTGTGGATGTAGAGAGACCTTCTAATAATATTAAACACACAACAGTCGACATATTGTACGGACATCCTCAAACTAACTGCCACACCTGTGTGAGTGCAAATATTCAGGACAGACTGGACCATCCAGTTTCAACTATAATGGACTGTCCAGTTCCCCACAAGGGAGACTTCTTGGGAGGAGGGGGTCCAATCAATCCGAATTATCTAATTCCCCAGGGACGAGCAGAGAATTACAGATACTGCGATTAGCCAGGCTGGAACATCTGCCCAGCTTCTGTTCAAGACGCGGTGTCACATTCGCAACAGGTGGAAGCGCACCGGGTTCACTGGAAAGCTGATCAGTTCTGGCAATCTGTTGAGCAGATTGCTCATGTTGCTACAAATAGTTTGGAGGATTGTGTTCCAGAACAAGAAAGATTGTTAGTTGCGGTAGTTGCTAGCAACCTGCAATTCCTGCAGAGTCCAAAGAGTGTGACTTCAGTGGGTTAGTTTCATTCAACGGATTCCTTTTGTTTCTCATCAGCTGCGACGAAGGCCAACGATGAGCAGAAGAAGTTGGCAGTACATTACTCGGCCTCGCAACACTTCCAGGAGAATGTTTTCATCGAGGGCAATCGGCCCCAGTACCTGGAGGACTTGCACTCGGAAGCTCAAGAGGGCTTGAAAATATTACAGCGGGAAGGTCAGCAAGGTATCGAAAACAGACTTTTATATTGTGTGTTATTTATACGTAGGTAAAATACATGTGAGCAGAGTCAGGTTAATATGGCCGTATTGATTTGCTTTTCACAGAGCACCAGAGCGGAGTGAACTTTGCTGAAGATGAAAGCTGTGCTGTAAGTGCATTTCATCAAACGCAAAAATATCCGCCCACCATCTTGTGCTTTAAATCTATTTTTTTCATCATCAGTCATCAGCGCATCCAGAAGATGATCTCGACTCCAAAGATGAGGAGGGCTCTCTTGAGTCAAAATCCAACTCGGGGATTAGTGATACCACAAGAACTTCTTCCACGATGACCAGACCTGTGCTCACTCGTCAAAGTAATCAGCGCTCGTCACTTGGAAAGAAAACATGATATTGCGTGAAGTGTTTATCACGCCACACAGTGAGTAGCTCTATTCTGCACTACCTTTCATAGGTTCCACATTCAAGCCTTTGTATCCAGTGAAAAGGTTGGAAAAGAACAGGAAGAGGAACAGAAGGACGACCATTATGGGCATTCCCAACCAGGTCCAGAAAGAACTCGGTAAGGCAGAGTACAAGAGCACACGGAATTGCTTATTTTGGTGCTGGGCATGTCAGTGAAAAGTCACCTGTCCATTTCCAAGCATTGCACAGAGGCTCGACCTTCCAGCAAGTTGTTTCTGCGGAGCTACCCAATGACAGCAGCCAGTCGGGTGTTTTCATCATTCCAACTGTGGACGGAGGGACTCCAGTGATAACCAAGGAAGGAGCAAGGGTGCACCTGTCACAAGTGGAAGTAAGTTTCACTCACTGAACGGGCGAAACATTTTTTTAAAAAACGTGATAAAGCTCATTTTACATCTCCAACGCAGGTATCTGATGATAAGCAGCAGATGAAATCACATCTTCAGGATGTTTACAAGAAGGACCAAGCCTTCAACCACCACGGATATGGAACCCATCACTATCGGTCATCTGTCATCAGGCCCAAGTCTGTTGCGGTACCTGGAATGACTACTTTTACTTCCTTCAACCCTTTAAGGAGTAGCTTCCTCTTAGAACCCCAGGTAAGGAAACAACGGGATAGCTTTCCGTATAGCAGTGGCCTCCAAGTCCGGTCCAAGACACCTGATTCAAATGATCACCCGTTCACACCATTCAAGACTATTTTTTTTTTAAATTTCCCGCAGGGTCCAGTGATGTCCGTATCTCCTCAGGCTACCTACCTATCTACAATCATACCAAACGCGGTGCTGCCAGCCTCGGTTGAAGTCATTGAGATTGACCGCGGCAGCCAACGAGGCAACAGCGTTCACCACGGTGGTGGTGCTCACACACTAAGCAAAAGCAGCCTGGCTTCTGTGGTTTCATCAGGCAGCCCTTTTCTATCCAGAAAATCAGAGAGTGACGGCTCCCACGCCGATATTTCTTTGAATAATTCAACAACGCAGGGTACCGCACACAAAGTGGATCTCAATCTGCAGGGAATCTCCAGCCTCCAGACTTCAGCGAATCGCATCAGTAATAGTGAAAATATAGGACCGAACATGGATTCTGACCCTGCCGTACCATGTACCAGTGGGGATGATGCAAAGATCAAACGTAATTCCACTCGAAGTCTCTCCATTATCAAGACCAAGCTACCCCCGGCACCTCCGCAAAGATCAAATTCGCTTCATAACAATAAGATACGGACTGGTTCCAAAGGCCAGGCAGAGAGCAGAGATGCAAATGTCTCTGGTTCTCAAGGAGTATCAAGTGCTACAGGAAGTAGAGCGACAACGGAGGAATCACAAGTCACTGCAGAAACGAACAAGATTCTGGATCCTGTGTCAAACATTGCAGAATCCAACTCCCATCCTTTAAGCCCCGCTCAGGTTTCTGCTCGCGGAGCAAAAAAATCAGGAGAGTCTGTCTTGGAATTGAACACTTCCTTTCCACAGAAAAATCACTCCGAATGTGAGAAATTTGAACGGACCATTTCCCCTTCCAGCGGCTACTCCAGTCAAAGTGGTACCCCAACACTTTCCCCAAAAGAGATCACTCCAATTTCTCCAGATAAACACAAGACGAAACCGGTAAAGCCGGAGAGATCTGGGTCTCGAGCGTCATCCTCAGCCTCCCCATCCTCATCGCTGACCTCCCTATCGTCCGGTACATCCGAGCCTGTCAATTTGGATGTTTCGAATTCTTGCACTCCTAATTTGCCGCCGGCGTCTGCAAAAGAACTCACTTCGCCTTTGAGAATGGAAGTCAGAGACCTGTGGAATGTACCACCACCTCCCAAAATCAAAGCGCCATGTCCCCCTCCTCCTGAAACATGGGCTCAAAATAGTCACACCGTTGCACTCCTGTGTGGTCCGAGCCCCCAAATCACCAAAGTAGTCACAGAATCAACAAAAACTCGAGAAAATGCAGATATGCATGAAGGGAGCCCAACAGAAACCAGTGACTTGGGTTTTGAAAAACAATCCCAGGACGAAACAGAAGCATCGGAAATAAATTCAACAGACGACAAATCGTCGTGCGACGTTGCCGGAGATGCCCATCGGGTTAAAGAAAATACGGAACGTGCCGGTACAGAAGAAGATACATTTTCAGCTGAGGACAGGACTGAAAAAACAACAAAAACACAAGAACAAGAGAGCTGTCGCTGGACAATGAATGGCTCTGGCAGTTGTGACGTATCCGCAAAAAAAGAACCACCTGTTCTGAAGAAACCACAACCGGGGGGGAAAACAACGTTGATAGAGAGCCAACAAAGCGATCGCTGCAACAGCGCCGCAACCTCTGTTGATGACACTGAGGATGAAGTGGACACGAGTGAAGTCCGATCAATACGAGCAAATTCTACAGATTCGCAAAGCATTCACATAAGCTCACCGCCACCTTCACCTCCACCTGCTTATCAGCCTACGCCGCCTCTCTCAAGAAAGTCACCTCCGACCTCGGTGTCGACGTCACTCGATGAGTTGGAAAGAGTCCAGGAGGAGAGCCGTGTTGCAGAATCATCTTGGCCACCTCCACCGCCTCCGTTAGAGGGAGACTCAGTCTTGGATGGAGGGGATGAGATTGAATTTCCTCTCCCGCCTCCACCTGACATGGCTTACAATATTCCAGCTGAGGACAGTTGTGCCAGAGGGATGGAAGCTTCAGACACACCAATTCCTCCGTTAGAGGAATTTGTCAAGACAAATCAAGACTCCGGTGAAGCCGAGACATCTGCACCCCCGGATCCAGTTTTAGTTCAAACTGTAGTTTGCGACAACAAAGACGCTGAAAGTTCAGACGGACCAGTGCGGACTCTCTCGTCAGCTTTGCAAAGTCCTTCATCTTCAACCAGCAATGCTGCAGAAATCCAACCGTCACTCTCCGCAACAGCTTCTGGCAGTTTCCTAAAGAGACGCTCTCTTGAGATTGAAAGTCACCCTGCTACTGAATCGCCCAGCACTTCACAACTCCCTACGCTGGTTAAATCCCCTTTACCGATGGAGAGCCTTACCACCGGGGTTGCCTTCAGAAGGCCTCCTGGTACTGCACATCGAGACAACAGGAGCAAGGAGCTTCTCGCTCGCCACAAAAGCACGCCCATTCCTAAAGAGGATGCGATCATACCTCTCGTCACCCCCTCTTTACTTCACATGGTCCGCCTCCGTACCGTCAGTACAACTGAGGACAGCGCGGAAGCGCTTTCTGAAGACAGCTCACCAAAAGAGGGAGCTCTCATCGAGGAGATTGGTCGAACCGCGACCGTGAGGCAGCAAAACACTCCGCCAAAGCCTACCCGTAAGTCACTGAAATCTCCCCCTCAAGCGGTGAAAACGTACGTGACACCTAACACCCCTTCCATGCGATTACAAGAAGCCATTCGCATAAAAACTGCAGCACTCTCATCAAGAGAAGGTCTTCCATACCGACTGGGGATGAGACCGTCCTACCACTGTGCGAGCGAACTAGGGATATTGTCCCACAAATCATCGGAAGCACATGACACACAAAGGATCCCAGCTTCTCCGGCAAGCTTCATCTTCTCCAGGAGCACGAAGCAGGTTGTTATTGATACTGGTGCTACGCCAGAAGATCGGGCGGGTGTGAAGCAAAGTTTAGCAGGCGATCTCGTGCGGCCTTCTGACCAAACGAATGCCGCCGTTTCCTCAAGCGGCGGGTTGAGGTCTGAACGGGTTCCGCCACCGGTCGCCAGGAAACCTTCGCATGGCAGCATCAGTTTTTCACAACACCGTCCAGCTTGTTCAGCTCGAATGGAAACCGGTGCTTCTGCCGGAGATGCTACAACAGCACAACATTCCGAGGGAACGGCGCTTCCCGAGACAAGTATGGGGCACCGACAATATTTATTTATTCAGATCTTGCAGCTGTATGAAGGTAATGACAATGTTTCCATCTGTTGTTTTTATTTTCCTACAGCTACAAGAGTGACCGCAGACACAATTGAAACACTGTTCTGAAAGCGGTCTGTGTCAAACCAACCAAGAAGAGCCAAAAGAAAGCCTACAAGCAAGTTAACTGCATAAATGGGACTATGAACTCACATGAGTTGCATTGAGTTAAAAAAAAAAAAAAAGCGCCTTAGCCTGAAATGGCCTTCCACATGTATTTATGCAAATCAATAGCTACCACTTTCTTATGATAGCTTTATTCTGGAGTATTTTTCTAAAGCCCCCCCCTCAGGATAAACTGGTGTACATATGGGCTGAACTGTAAATACTGAGTGAGGGTGCCCTCCAGTGGCTGAATAGGGGAACAGTCACATCAGAATGATCATGTACAAAGATTTAAGTTTTGGTTTCGTAAGATACAATTTAATAGGGATGATGTACAGGGATGTTTGTCACTAAAGGCTGAAGAAGGCTCCATTAACAGTGATAAAAGTTTTTACTTGGAGAACAGGACAGAAACAGATCATTCCGGTGAGACAAAGGGAAAAGAGTAGAGACAAACATGATGGGGGAAAAAAAAAATGGTGTTATTTAGAACAGAAGCACTTTTGTATCGCTAGAGATGGTCAACTATTAAAATTCTCTTCTCGGATCACCATCATTTGTCTCTTGGCTATAATAAAAGATACAATTTGAGATCAATTTATTTAAAGTGCTGCTAATTATGTTTCTTTTATATGCGTAGGTGATAAACAATGAGTACTCGATAGAACTAGACCACGATCAGACCACAGACTTCATCCACAGTTTATTCCATGTCAAAGTTGGGTTTTTTTTTTTTTTTTATCATGGCAATATATGTTTGCATGATTGTGTCGTGCGCGTGCTACTTATGATGCAACTGCACAAATAGACCGGAAAACCGTCACTGATAAAGTACGGAAGCACAGTTTGGTGTACGTGTTAATGTCAGAGTGCAGATGAAGTTATTTTGATGAATCATAACAGGTCCCATGTCTTTTCAGTGACAAGCACCCATTTTTTCCCCCTTTCAAAGATCATTGAATGACTTTTAGTATATCCATGTTCCATCGTGCTCCAAGAAAACCACCCCTGTTGTTCCCATGGCAACTGGTGGAAGAAATGTACTCTTGCAATGTAGCTGGCAGGTGAAGACGAGTACCTAACTGATATTTCCTCCTTTCAGAGTTTTACACGTGATCTGTCCTAGTTTGGTCATCAGCAAGTTGTCTTTCCACTGAGCTGCGCACTCCTCTGAGATCTTCAGGTCAACCTGGAGAGGAAGGCAGAATAGTAGTAAAGAAAAGGAAAAGAAAAAAAAGAATACATAATTCCAGGGGCAGCTTGGTTGTTTGAAAACAAAAAAAATGGGGGTTCAAATTTCTGCTCTGGTCTTCCTGTGTGGAGTTGGCATATTCTCCCTTTGCTTGCATGGCTTTTTGCAGATGTTTTTGACCCAAAAAACTTGCATGTTAGGTTCACTGCGGAGTCAATCTAAATGTTGTTGAAATGTAACCCAATTGATTGTCCTGCGATTGACTTGCGACCACTTCCTACCTCTCACCCACAGTCAGGTGGTAAGCCAGTTCAAACGCGGCGCTGATGAGTACAAGCACTTTAGAAAATGGATGGACGGATGTTAGCCCAAGAGTCTTACTTGTAATTTCTCCCACACTTTCTTCTTCGGGTTGAGTCTGTCATCTGGTTTGCCCGCCTCGTATCCTTCTACAAAGACCCGGTCCCCTGGTGAGGAACCCTCAGGAGGATCAAGTGGCTCCACTCTCCTGGGCTCTCCTTCACTACAAACAACCCGAACACAAAACAAGGTGAGGAGAAGGAGGAAGAGGAGGGAACGCAAAAGTAAAAAAAAAAGTGGATGTGTTGGAATACATGGAAGCACAGAGCAGCATGGCTTGCGACTCAATTCCCCGCATCTTCTGGGGTTTGAGGTTGCACAACACCAGCACCAATCGGTCCCGCAAGTGCTCCTGGGAGATGTAGGCCACAAGGCCGCTGACCACCGTCCTGGGCTCCGCTTCGCCAACGTCGATCTTCTCCAAATACAGCGAATCGGCGTCCGGATGCTGATAGTTGGAGAACGAAAAAAAAAAAACAACATTAACAGGAGAAAACCTAATACAACTCGTACTTTTTTGCTGTCATTTAAATGCATCATTTTCAGAATAAAATAAATACGTTTGAATAAAAATGCAAGTACGGTCATTTGAACACATAAGTGAGATGCCATTGTAGTCAATTCATATCTTACTTTTTCCACACTGACAACTTTCCCCACACGGATGTCCAGTTTAGATGGTGCTAAATCCTGGTCATCTCCTCCCGGACCGCCGCCGCCACCGCCTCCTCCTCCTCCTCCTCCCGCCTTGGCGCCCTTTCCTGCTCCTTCTGTAAAGACAAATGCGTGAATACGAAGCGAATCGATATCCATTCACATCAGAATATACAACACTGACTCGTCTTTGTCGTAGGGTAAGCATCCTTGGCCAGTTTGCGCAGTTCGGCAGACTCAAACTTCTTCCTGATTGGCTCCAGCAGCTCGTTGAGGGCCGCCTCCACAGAGGCCTTCAGGTCTCCGGGGTGAATCAGCTAATGAGAAATGAACTTGAGTCCTCTGAAGGAGAACCTGAACGAAGCGAGTCAGCAATTTACCTCTGTGGCAAAGTCCTGCTCCACTTCCTCAAACGCTGTGTAGACTTTGTCTCCGCCGAACTTGGCGTCTCTTTTGATGGAGAACCCTAAACAGAGTTTTTTTACACTCTTTCAATATATGGCGCGTTTCATACACAGCAGAAGATGTGTGTCATACCTCCACGAAGAGGGAAGAGCACAAATTTGACAAAGGAGAGAACCCCATTGTTCTGGATGTTTCCCGGCTCACAGAAGACCTTTTTTAGCTTCTTCTTTAAGTCTTCCTTGGAGTCCAGCAGGTCCACCTTGGAGTCCTTTCACAGAAAAGCAGCAGCCATTACAAATGAAAGACACACTTGAAGTCGGTCCAGTACTACTAGTTGCACTCTTACTTCCTCTGAGGAGCTCATCTTGGCGCCGGTCAGTCCTGGTACCATTGGGTTCATTAGATGGACGCGCTTGGCATAGCCCATGGGGGGGAGGTACTGCCGAAAAGTGAAATAAAATAATAAGAACAACAACAACAATAAATAGTGGCATTCTACAAATTAACATTTTTTTTAACCTACACTAAGGCAGTGGTCAAGTCATGATAACAATAAATATTCATCTAAAACATCATTCGAAATAATTGCTCAAAAGGTGCAGAGGCGACATGTGGCACCTTCTCGGCAAAAGTGAAGATCTTCCTTTGGTCCACTCCTCCAAATTGGGCGTCCACCTTCAGGTACTCCTCATCCAGCGCCTGAGGAGCGAAAATAATTTGGGATACATTTCCAGACCGGCATTTGGCACGCTGATTAAAGAGCTACATTCAAAGAGTTATGCCATTTTTTTTTTTTCCCATCACCTGCAGTCCTGGATACAGGAGACCACTCAGCAGAGCATGCTCCACCTGCTTGACCACCTCGGCGCCAGCCTTTTTGGCATCGTGCTCGGTCACCATAGAGGACAGGCGGTACACATCCAGAGTGTACTCTCTGACACACATGAAATCAAAGGCCCCGAACATTATTATGAGGGGTTGCTCAAAAGTGTAATCGCAAATTAGGGACATTGGTGTCGCATTTCACGCTGACTAAATCAACTGTGAGTAAACTGAGACAAGCTCATGATTTCGATATTCTTGCTCGGTAGTATGCTCTGACAGTTTTTGTATGTGACACGGATGCTTTGGCTCAATAAAGGTTGGCTATCACTGCTCAATGACCGACCTACTGAGCTGGTAGTCAGTTCCTTTCACAAACTTCAGTTTCTCCAAGGGTACACCGATGCTCTCCAACATGGCCTTAATGACTTCCTCATAGTACTTCACCCGAAGCTCCAGCAGCTCCCAGGGAGCCTTCATATTGTCGAGGAAGGCATGCAAATCCGCAAACAAAATGGTGACCTGAATGAGCAAAGCAAAAACACAGATTTCAGCCTTTTGTAAGGAGATGGCGGCCAAGCTTTAGATCACACACCTCACATCCAGCTTTGAGGAAGTCTGCTATCTTGGACATCGGAACGAAATAGGCCACATGCGGCTTGCCTGTGGTGGCAGTTCCCCAGTACACCTTCAGCTCCCTCTCCTGAAGGATCTGCTTCAGCTTGTCTTCCCCGAGTACCTCCTGCGTGAAACGAGCAACGCGGAAGACATCACGACGCAGCTGCCTCACTGAGTGACCATGCGCAACTGTGACCCACCTGCAGGTTCCTGGTGATGAGGTGCAGCTTCTCGTCGGGGCTTAGCTGGGTCGCCATGGTGAGAGGCCTTCCGACTACAACCACAGAGAGCTTGAAGGGGACAAATCATGGGAAATTGATTTTTTAAATTGATTGTATAGTGGGACATTTAGCAAACGGAATATTAAACAACCAAGCAACTTTCACACTCCCATTTACACCTATGGACAATTTAGAGTGTTTGGTTAACCTTTTGAGCGAACAGTCAATTCAACAGAGTACGATACATCCAGAACCAAGAGTCGAACCTCCAAACCATGAGTCCACAGTGCTGTCTAATGTATGAGGCTAGATTAGGTTTAGATATAGATAGATAGATAGCAAAGGGAATCCACATTTTTTTTAGCATTACTTACGCTTATAAAAATCAAAATAATGTGCCTTCTATACCTACTTGTGTTTTCAGGTATATATTACAATGATTTTACTTTTAACATTATTGTAATAAAAGCTGGGCTTGAAGGAACGTATGACATTTTTGGCACTACGACTAAAAAAAAACTAATGTTATTACTGTACCGTGTAACTAAATGATAGTGTTGCTTTTAAAAGGTTTAGCATTAGGCAAGCTAACGCGGACGAAAGGTACAGTTCAGTTGATGCTCATGAATAAGCACAATATTCAATTATAACAAGGATAAATTCACTTGGGTTGTCAGTTTAACAAAATGTAGTAACGCGAGTTAGCAATGATGTTCGCTAGCTGGCTAGCAACAACGCCATGTGCAACAACATGAAACACAGGTGTCGTTTCGGGTCCAAAGCGCAAACGTCTTACCCATAATGACTTCAGCCCACCTAGAGGACACGTTAAATAATCATACAATTATGTTGTCCAGTTTATACGACTTACCTCAAGAGCTAAAGTGGCGTGAATGAAAAAGCAGCCGGGTGGTGGAAGCTGTCAGAGGGTTGCATCAGCGATCGATTGGGTCCACTTTCAGGAAAAGCAGTCGAAAGCCGAGCTGATGATTTTCGACGAGGTTGGTTTCGTAAACCTATAGAATTAAAACTGTGATTGAAGTTGCGGGTCGTTTAATATTGTAGTCAGTTTAAGCAATAAAGCAAGTTTTTCAGATTTTTCCCATTGCATATTTAATACAGCTACAGAGGCTTATGAGGCTCGAACAAAATAGGAAAACAAAAGCACGACTGCCATTTATTCCTCAAGGAAAGCATTTATTACAACATTAAATATTTGACATGTGAACATGATACGGATGAGTTCGCAATGTCCAACAGATTGAGGGAGGCGATTACAAGTCGGGCTCCAGGCGTGGAAGCACCGGGAGGATGAGGTTGCCGAACGCCGAATCCTGGGTAATGAAGAAGCCGGACGAGTGTCCGTGGGCGTGCTGGAGGGCGGCCTTCTGCTGGGCTGCGATGTGCTGCAGCTCCGCGCTTTCCCTCGCGTCCTTCGTCGCGCCGCCTCTGCAGGTCAGTGGCGTGTTGGCCCCGGGATCGCTCAAGGACTGAGTCTGAAGCAGCCGCCGCTTCTCCTTGTCCAACTCGGCCAGGATGGCAACGCGGGTGTTGGTGGGAAAGCCTGGCGGATTGGCGGCGGTCATTTTAACGTGGCTTGCACGGTTAGAGTGATTGAGAATCAAGAGTGAATTCCAAATCCACACCTTTTTTCTGGGGGTTTATTGAAAATAGTCGTAAATCTACTTTACTTCCGTTTTATTTCCGTAAATAAATATGGAACTTCCGTTCCGTGTATGCGTTCTTCGTGTATTAACAGTAGCGCATTATCGCCACCTGCTGGTTGGAGTACAGTTAGCTTGGGCGTGCCGCACAGACAGTATTTAAAAAATATTAAACATAGACTTTACATGTCTTTTCCGACAGAAATTGAATGAAATTTAATAAATCCAGGTCTAAACAAATATAAAGTTTTAAATCAAAATAGAGAGCTCTTTAAAATTTTTCTCAGACCTTTTCAGCACTGATTTTGATTGGGAGGAATGTCGGCGCCTTTTGACTGTAGTTGTGGACAGCCCCGGGACGATTGTGTTTTGCGCCTGTAATGGGCAGCATTTTCACAGCCCCGCTTTGTTGAGCGGAAAGGTCGGTGCTGTTAGACAGTCTGGTGAAAAAGACACTTTGATTCGCTCCTCTTTCATCTATAACTGCTTCAAACAACAAAGTGTATGCAGGAAAAGTGGTTAAGATTGCACGACTGTCTGTGTCTTATGTGTTGTGTTGTATTATTTTGTCATTTGATGTTAACTGTTCTTTTGATGGCTGCGCGAGCACCCGCAGCGGCTCCTCTTGTCTGTTTGAGAGGGAAGAAATTTCTTCTGTGCTGTATGTTGCACATACAGCGCATTTGACGCCAGAGTTGTACTTCAAGTCACTTCTGGGTTTGGATTAGGTGTTGTTACAGTAAACAGACACCAGATGTCACAAATTCAAACGTAAACGAAGAAACCTGCAGATTAAAGCGATTCCTGAAATAAGATTTCGTTTTATGGACATATATTTGGTGAGTACATACTGTATATTGTACATTATTTTTTGCCTGACATTTAAAATTGTGTTTAGTCTTTCACAATTTTTTTTTTAAATCCTGCCTTCTTATGTTTTAGTGTGTGTGAGGTTTCTCATAAGAGCATTAAAATTCCAAGTAAATTATCAGGCTTCACTTTTAAAACATTCAAACATGAAAAGCTCTGGGCAGGCTTGGTGTCCAGCATTACCTGCCTCAGTCAGTCTGTTTCCAGGCTCTAATCTCAAGAGTTCCCCCAGTGTTTGCATGAGTTTTCACTAGGTACTTGAACACCCTCACACTTTCATATTAACTATAACTTTATTTTCTGTAGTTGCGAATTTCTGTGTGACTTAGTGGTTCTCTGTATGTGCACTGGGCGGAAAAAAATCAATTTTCACACACTTCATTTTTCCATCATTTAGTGTTCTCAATCTCATTTGTTTTTCCTTCTTAAATAAACTACAGAAGAGTAGAACAAAGCACTTGCAACGACAAATATCAAAGGTATTTACAAATTTACGTACACTATAAACATATGAACAGAGTCTTGTACACAAGGCTTGTGTGTGTGTGTGTGTGTGTGTGTGTGTGTGTGCGCGCGCACTTGCGCACACCCTTGTGTGTATACTCTACATGTATGTGTCTCTGGGGGATTAAAGATCACACATTTGGTTCACAGCCTCATGAAAGTGTCACACAAGAGAGAAAAAAAAGTTCAATTTAACTGCAGTCCCACAACTCAAAAAAAATGTCAACAATGACCATATAATGAACAAAGGTTCCAGTTGGTTGAGACGACATGGCATCATGCGCAGCGTCCTTTACAAATTAGGCAAAGGTCCTTTTCTTAAATTAGAATTTCTTTCTCTCTTTTTGTGGACAAAAATGCAAGGAAAAAAAACTTCACATGGGTACCCCAATCGAGAACGTGTTACAGATGTACATATAACATTGGATGCCGAATGTACACGTTTTCATATCGATGGATATGAATGAAAACCACAAAACAGATGTTTATCCTACAAGACTTATGCATATATACAGAGGAAAAAAAAAACCTCACTCAACATTCCCATCGTCCTATTTTTTTTCCCCACAATTATGTGCATCCTTTCTTCACCGAGTACAGACAGAAACAATAGTGACACATTAAAAAGGCATGAAAACATTTAACTTTATGTCAATTCTGCCCTTAAATATATTTTAAATACTGCAAAATGCGTCCTCTGTCCAAACTGTAAAATAAAAAAAACTAATAAATACTTAACTAAGGCGATCACATATTCAGGTACTGGCTGCCTTCGCCTTTTAGCTCAGTGTTCAGTCGTAAAAAAAAAAAAAAAAAAAAAAGATGATTTTCCTTTTCCTCAGGAGTTGTTCTATAGATACGTAGCAAATCTATTGTAGTGGTTTTACTTTATGGAATGAAACAAAAACAAGCCCTTGAAGAGGTGCGAATGGTTTACCTAAATTGAAATTGAGAACAATCAGGCTGTCAAGACAAATAGTGTAGACCAGCCAGTGATTATAGAACAAGTGCCTTGAAATGAAGTGTCAGTTTGTCTTTTTTTTTTTTGCTACTGAACTGAGCTCAGGCACAGACGCTAATCGTTCAAGTTTCAGGTCGCTAGCGCAGTGCTCAAAGTCACTGGATTAAAAAAAGAAAAAGATGGAAGCAGGCTTTTTTGTGCACTTGCACAAAAGTCAAAAAAAAAAAAAAAAAAAAAACGGTTTGAGCAGTACAAAAAGAGACCTGACCGAGCAAACAAGTGTGTAAATGTCAGGTTGTGTTGGCACATTTTTTTCAGCCTCTTGAAAGGAAATAGCAGCAGCAACAAGGCAGTGTCTCTCAGATAAGACGGGCCAAAATCACTTGGTCCCGCCTAGTGCAAAATACCAGGCGCTTATCTTGATTGGTCGGTGCATTAAAAAAATGCACTAGATCATGTTGGAAAGTTCCGTCGAGTCAGATTCGGATTCTGCCTCGTCTCTGCCAGGAGAAAAGACAATAAATGTAGTGTTATGAAACTCCTACATACCTTCTGGGTGAAATTTTCCAGCAATACAAATAACGTTAATGTCATTCTGTCACCCTAAAATGTGGCAACTTCCCCAAAAGTGACTCGAAATACACCGTGCGCCTTTCGGCCTCAAAAGGTTACCTTTGGTGCTGGAGCAGTTTGCGGTTCTCGAGCCTCCTGTCCTCGTCAATGGGGTACTTGTACAGGATTACCAGGCCGATCATGATGAGTAAGATGGGGGCAGCCGAGACCAGCACCTTCAGCGTGATGTCCACTTCCGGCGGCTGGGAGCAACCTCGAGAGATGTAGCCGGCAAAACTGGATGCAGAGAAAAGAAAAAAGGACAAAAGTTAAGGCGCGGTCTTATGACAGAAGCATGACACTCTACTGTAGCGGAATCGCATTAAAGTTAAAAAAAAAACAAAAACTTTGATGTAGGATTTGTGAGATTTGGATTAACGTCATTCAGCACTGTGCTTGTGAACAGGAATTTAAAAAAAAAAAATTGACGACAGGCATCCAGGGAAACAAAGTGCAATCTCCAAAGTCCTACAACTGGTTGTTGTAGTAATCGTAGTGCTCTGCTGCCATCTTGTGGCATTCATGAATGATTGATTATATGGCCGTTAACGCAATCGAGAAATTGAACGCTGCCTTTTTGCGAAGCCTTATCACGCCGCTACACAAATATGGTTCACGCCGTGCGAGTGCTTACTCTAAACTGAGAGTGGAGATGCCCAGGGAGACTCCGGAGGCGAACTTGGTGAAGAAGACGTAGAACGAATAGAAGAGCGCCTCGTGGCCAATGGCATCGGGGTTTTGCACCTGGAAGTCGTCGACGACGTCGGGTAGCATAGACCTGATGGACAAAGGAGGGTTTTGAGTTAGCCGTGCGTCGGTGACTGCAGGGCGGATGCTGAGAGTCGTGGGTGGGGGGGGTCTCACCAAGGCAGCAGGAAGGCGGCCGCCACGCTGACGCCGGCGGCAAAGGAGACGATGTAGGTCACGACAAGGTTGCTCTTCAAGCACACCACCAGGATCATGAAGGGAACCACAGACTGGAGAGAGGAGAAGCATATTCAGGTACGGGTCAAGAAAAAAAAAAAAAAAAATCACGTCGCATCAATTTCTTTGTAATGTGCCGCGTTTTGTCAAACAGGGACTTTACCAAGGTGCCGACGTAGACGGCCGTCTTCTTCCCGAATTTGGTGAGGAACCACTGCCAGAAGGGGATGGTGAGAGTGGCCGAGAGCTGTGACGGACGGAAGGGAGACATGCACGCTCCGGTTAACCAACACGTTTCGCCCTCAGTGCACGCGAGGCGCTCTCAATGCAATGCCGTACGAGCAACAAAGTAGGAATGAGCCCGTGCGACATTATGTAACGCGCGCATGACAATGGAAACGGTCACAAAGATCTTCAACGTCCGTGGGTAAATTCCCCAGGGGGGCGCATCGTTTTGACTCTGACTCATCTCTCCTCAAGTGACCTTTGGGGATCAGCCCCGTTTGCTTTTCTTCCCAGCAGGAACGTCTTCGAAAGAACTGCCCTCCTTCGCACAGACGATTAGTGAATAAAGTCATCTGGCTAAATAAATTCCTCGTCGGCTCCGTAATCCTTCCCATGAAGTAAAGGATCAAGTGGCGTAATCTGCTCAATGCTGTGAACCTGCACTCACCCCCCCCGCCCCACCCACACTTGGCTTGGTCTGCCTGCTACAGTGGATGTATTTGCTACAATTAAAACTGGGGGCGATGACTGATTCGTACAAAATGAATCCTTTTTTTTTTTCGGGGGGCGGGGGGGGTGTGCACATTCTTCTTGTCCATCTGTGGGAATAACACGGCATTCAGGCTTGGCTCTCACATGGTAATGGACAGTGAGAACACTGTGGCACTCTGATGGACTACAGACCAGCTTTGTGACTGCACGCAATTTATGTGCAAGACCTTTCGCAGGAAGTCTTTGGGAGATTGTTATGGCAACAGCCTACCTGAAACAACACCTGCTGCTGCTGCTGTGTGTGTGTGTGTGTGTGTGTGTGTGTGTGTGTGTGTGTGTGTGTGTGTGTGTGAACTCACCATGATCACCAACAAAATATTCTGGAAGTCGTTTCGGAAGCCAAGGGTGTAGCTACAGAACAGTGCAAAGTTTCCCTCGAGGAGCTGTGAAATAAAGAAAAAATTAGTTTCTGAAGAGGGATTCACCACCTTAAGGGACAGAAAACTGCCAAGTGTGGATGTTTAAAAAAAATAATAATAATAATAATTTTTTGAAATGAATTAGTTCAGAGTGGAAACAAGCGAAAAACTTCTCAAAAGAAGCCCCAGAAAGTCTCTGATGAACAAAAAGAAGCCAGTTTACATTTGACAAGGCCAAAGGTACATTTTTTTTGTCTGTGTGTATGCGTACCATGAATGCTAAGGAGGTGAAAAGGAAGGCCATGACCAGTTTGGCGTAGGGGCCGTGACCCATCACCAGCTTGATGCCCTGGATGAACGACAAGGGCTCCGACTTGGGACGGTTCGAGTCTGAAGAGGGAAAAAAACAAAACAAAACTTGAGTTTCTTCACATGAGGCCTCTAATTTGTTTAAAGCCTCACTTATACATGTAAAGTACAGCTGGATGAGGTCACCCAAAAAAAAAAAAAAAGACACGTGCTTGCTTGCTTGTAATCAGGAAGTTCAACAACTGGGTCGTTTTCAATTAGGCTTTATGTTTTAAGATAACGAAACATTTTAGACACACACCCCAGATACGTTTTTGCATGCCTGCTTTGTCACTAATAACAAATCTCAGACCTGTTTTGAATATGCGGTTCCCAACTCAGCTTTTAATAGTTTTGTTCTGGAATGATGGAAGCGAGAGATCGGTCGCAACGAAATATCGAGTTTCCAAACTGACTGAGGTGGAAAAAATATAAATCAATAAATACATAAATAATAATATGCCTTCCGCAATCAAATGATCATGCAAGACAATGTTGGCGTTTACGTAAAGAGAGACAAACTCTGTGTGACCTTTGAATTAATGAATTTGGAAAATGAGGAAAAAAACAAACCAAAAAAAAAAACAAACTGCATATTTGGTTTATAATTTCGAACACCGTGCATGGACATGACCTTTTTGCTCCCTCACGCCAAAGAACAGCACAATGGCGCAGAGGACGTAGATTAAGCAGATGACACCGGAGGCGATCATGTAGGCGGCTCTCTGTTGGGAAAAAAAAAAACAGACGTGAGGCAAAACTTTCCGGATTGCGCGTCCACAAACTGAATGGTGACATTGCGTACCGTGTGTTCCAGGGAGATGACGTGGTTTGTTCCGTTGAGGCCGAGCGAGGAGTTGCTGGAGTCCGCCAAAATTTCCCCCGGTCCCGGGACGCAGGGCGCGTTGGCCATGCCCACGATTTGGCCCTGGATGGCGGTACCGAGCACAGTGCCCAAAACCTCCACCGTCATCCCTGGTTCAGGGAATAAGAAACATTTCTTCTTCTGTCCTCAGGAAACCCGATAAAGGAAACAACGCGACTCACTGTAAGCTGTAGCAGAGTCCCTTTCTTTCTGCTCGGAGCTGATGAACATGGTGAGGGCGGAATATGGCACATGGAAGCACTGAAACGGACACGAGACAGGAAGACATCAGACAAATTTGCTTTTGGGTCACGCGGTTTGAAATGAATTTGTTCCATTCGGCAGTTCTCTTTTAAAAAGAGAAAAACAATAGTCTACATTTCGACGTGACAAAGTCTCTCTTTTTTTTCATCCTGTAACATTCAACAGTTTTTAATTAAAAATAAATGCGACATGGAACATTCAATTTATTTTCTGGATGGATTGATGTCACTTTTTTTTTCCGGGCCAAATGCGAAGTACCGAGTATGCGCCATGACCGAGTTCTGATACTTTAAAACACCACTACATGTTGTAATTGTAGTGAAAAAGTATTTTATTCTATTCAAATATTGCTTAAAAACACAAGCTGGTGACGGGGCTCAAGAAAAGTCCACAACTGCCCAGGTAGAATTTTTCTATTTTGCAGAGCCTAATTTGCTGTCTGCTGACATGGTGCTGTCATCTGTGTTGATCTGAAAGTATCGGTGTCGTAGTATGAGACCATTTTGAAAGGTAAGTACAGGCGTATAGCGCTTATTTCAATGAATTGTATAAAATTGATTCACTTTTACATGTAACATTTAAACATTTTTTGAAATCAAATACGTGATATGTTAAAACCAAAAAGTAATCATTGTAATATTGGCAATAAATGTTGTGGGGAAAAAAATTAATTGTGAATATATTTTTTTTTGTACAGAAAAACGAGAACTATTAAAAAAAAAAAATGTCAAAAAAAAAAGTGATCTTAATAGTCTTTTTTTTTTTAATTAAATGACAGGGTGATATTTCGTAACATTCAATGTGTTTCATATTGTAACGCTGCGGGCTTCAAACACTTTTCTGAACAGACAAGCTAATTTACTTCAAAGTGTTGGGCGTGGCGCATACTCACAGTTTGAAGGCTCTGAAAGACGCAGTAGAAGAAAAGGTACCAGATGACTTTGCCGTCCTCAAAAGGGGGCACGTACCATATCAGGAAGTAAGAAATCACAGCCAGGGGAGTTGAGAGGGCAATCCTGTGGGAACAAGGAAAAAAAAAAAAAAAAAAAAGCCATTGTGGATGAAAACATGAACGTCTTCATGCGTGATGCACGCGTAAGACAACAAGCAAGCATTGATTGAGCACGGGGTGGGGGGGGGGGGCTCATTGCATAAGACCCACAGACCTTCACGGGGCATCTTCAGTGATACGGTTTGCTTCCGACACGTCACTGTTGTACACACACACACGCGAAGGAATTTGATAATTGTATGACGCTAACATACTTAAGATCTATCAGAGTATGAATCACCTTGTACTGAAGCTGTGCCCCGAGGTGATTTGGAAAAGGGGACTACAGCGTGTGCGACCTGGGCAAGAACCTGGCAAGAGGGGGTTCTTTTCGGCCATTCCCTGCAAGCGTTCTACTCCCGTTGGCACTCTGATCGACATTCCCCGCTCGTGTCACACACACACACAAAAAAAAAAGGAAACGAGACCTCTTCACGGCCGCCTCTGAACCAGGACATCCTTGAGTAGTCCTGGAAATGCTGCGCCGCGTGAGTCATTTTTGATCAGGTGAGCTATAATTAATCAGACACAATGGGTAATTCGGTCGCCAGCAACTTTTTGTCTCACGTTTAGAGACTGAACAGGTTCTTCTAAAACAAATCAAATCTGTCTAATGGAAGGCTAATCGCCTTGAAATTATTTTTAATACTGGGCAGGGAACTGAGGGAGACTTCAGGTGCTTTGGTAGTTCAAACACGCTGAGCACCATTGAACTCCATGTGTGAAGAAAAACAGTTACAACCTGTCCCGGAAGTGGGTGACACACCTGTTGACTAATTGGGGCACGGCGCCTGCTGGCGGGACGGCCAATATTTGACACTATACGGTGCGTAAGTTGTCTCGACGGTCTACGATCAAATGCCTCTAATTCATCAGAGCTTGTCATCCCATCCATCCATTTTCGGTTCTACCAATGTTGCGGGGGGGGGGGCTCATTGCATAAGACCCACAGACCTTCACGGGGCATCTTCAGTGATACGGTTTGCTTCCGACACGTCACTGTTGTACACACACACACGCGAAGGAATTTGATAATTGTATGACGCTAACATACTTAAGATCTATCAGAGTATGAATCACCTTGTACTGAAGCTGTGCCCCGAGGTGATTTGGAAAAGGGGACTACAGCGTGTGCGACCTGGGCAAGAACCTGGCAAGAGGGGGTTCTTTTCGGCCATTCCCTGCAAGCGTTCTACTCCCGTTGGCACTCTGATCGACATTCCCCGCTCGTGTCACACACACACAAAAAAAAAAAGGAAACGAGACCTCTTCACGGCCGCCTCTGAACCAGGACATCCTTGAGTAGTCCTGGAAATGCTGCGCCGCGTGAGTCATTTTTGATCAGGTGAGCTATAATTAATCAGACACAATGGGTAATTCGGTCGCCAGCAACTTTTTGTCTCACGTTTAGAGACTGAACAGGTTCTTCTAAAACAAATCAAATCTGTCTAATGGAAGGCTAATCGCCTTGAAATTATTTTTAATACTGGGCAGGGAACTGAGGGAGACTTCAGGTGCTTTGGTAGTTCAAACACGCTGAGCACCATTGAACTCCATGTGTGAAGAAAAACAGTTACAACCTGTCCCGGAAGTGGGTGACACACCTGTTGACTAATTGGGGCACGGCGCCTGCTGGCGGGACGGCCAATATTTGACACTATACGGTGCGTAAGTTGTCTCGACGGTCTACGATCAAATGCCTCTAATTCATCAGAGCTTGTCATCCCATCCATCCATTTTCGGTTCTACCAATGTTGCGCACGCTAAAGCACAAGTGGCTTCAAAATGAGCAACCAAAAGGCAAATCCGACCTGTACAAATGGGATGGAATAAATGCATACAGTGTTGGGTTAAGTTGTGTCAAGGGGCGTCTCCGGCGCATGAAGCGTCCTCCCACCCGTGTGGATGATCTGATTTAACTGTACCCCTGAGGGAGTGCGATAACGTGGAGAGAGCGGGGGGTCAAAGCAGCTGATCCCCAGCGCCACATGAGCGACGATCAAATGATACGTTTCTTCATTTGGGGCCCCCACGTGGCCGACCGTCCAAACGACCTTGGATGGCAGTGACAGGTGGGCGGCACTGAACACAATCTCCCCCCCCTGACAACAAACTGGGGGAAATCAAATATTTGTGGTTTGAAAAGCAAGTCAACACATTTTATTCAGATGAAACATTATTATCCCCTCTGGCAAATAGTACAGCCTCACATTCAACAATTGAATCGCACTTTTGTGAACTTGGCAACACGACAACAGTCTGCACTGATAAGTCACTTGAACTATAATAACCTTCGTGATGTGACTGAAGGGAAGGGAGGGGAAAAAAAAAAACATCCGAGGCCTCCATAGCGGCGCTCTCATTGGCTAAAACTGATGGTGTGTTGTGGGCTGGACCAATCAGAGGCTGAGCTCACTCTTCTCCACCCCCACCCCCCTTACGCACTACCACGGAATATGGAGTGGCTGCCTGCACAGCCGCGTCAGTTGTGCTCCCTTTCCTCCACACGTCTTTGTCGAGTGACGTGGCCTCACGGCTTCCGAGCATGCCGGTGATTCCTCCACGCCCCAGCATGGGAAATTGCGAGGAGAAGAATGACCCCGTTTCCGGATGGAAATGGAATCAATGACGTATTATTTTTCCCAAACTGAAAAACCCAATACAATTTGTATCATGGGTCTAAAAACTGCACTCACGCAATTTCACCATCATATTTTGTTGATGCCAAACTGCTTGTGTTCATCTGATCTGCGTGTTTGGACTGCATTTACAGTACATTGGCACACACCTGAGAGATATCGGATATTTGTGAAGGGACTCACTCGGACATTCTGATCTGAAGATATCAGATCCACCATGCATGTACACATTTGGTCTCTTTAGGGCAAATAAGTCAAAAGATGGACATAAATCGGATTTTTGACAGTTGAACGAGCAGTGTTGGAAGGATGGTTCCTGGCGTTCTTAGTTTAGCTGATGACAGAGCCCGAATCTGAACTCACTGCACTTTACTGCAACAGGCTGAGTTAATTGATTGATTCCAGACACTTTTTTTTTTAAAGCAACACAGAAGGCAAAATATCAGCTGCCTGTAGCGTGCGATGGTCTCAAACCCCATCGACTCGGACATTCTGATCTGAAGATATCAGATCCACCGTGCATGTACACATTTGGTCTCTTAAGAGCAAATAAGTCAAAAAAACGGACATAAATCGGATTTTTGACAGTTGAACGAGCAGTGTTAGAAGGATGGTTCCTGGCGTTCTTAGTTTAGCTGATGACAGAGCCCGAATCTGAACTCACTGCACTTTACTGCAACAGGCTGAGTTAATTGATTGATTCCAGACACTTTTTTTTTTAAAGCAACACAGAAGGCAAAATATCAGCTGCCTGTAGCGTGCGATGGTCTCAAACCCCATCGACTAAATAGGACAGTCACCCTAGAATTTACATCCATGCTGACTGCAGCCTGGCAGTCAACCTGAGTTAATTGATTGATTCCAGACACTTTTTTTTTTTTTAAAGCAACATAGAAGGCAAAATATCAGCTGCCTGTAGCGATGGTCTCAAACCCCGTCGACTAAAAACGACAGTCACCCTAGAATTTACATCCGTGCAGACAGCAGCCTGGCAGTCAACCCCTCTGACACTCTACACCCAATTTCGGTCACGTAACACAGGCACAGAACCCTTCGGACATGCGCAATGACGGAAACCGCAGATCCAGACGTTTTCCAGGCGGCCTCGGTGAACATTGAGGGGAAGCTTTGGCGCTGGGGCGTGGATGGTACGATGATAGTTGTTAAAGAAGGACTGGGTTGTGGCCGCCTCGGTGATTTAAAAAAAAAAAAAAAGGGGAGCCACTCGCGGCCAATAAAGACTACACACGAGGAAAATCTGAACGCTGAATTTATGAAGAGACTTCATCCAAACTGGGAGGGGGGCGGGGGGGGCACTGGTAGCTTCAGAGGAGTGTGTGAAAATGCATTCGCAAAATAGCAGATGGGGGTTAGATTTATCGCCGTCCAGTTGGAGGCCACACGTTGGGAAATTGTGAATGCAGTGCACACCACCTGCACGGGGCTTCCCCCTTCCCCATGACGCTGCGCTTTGCGTTTCAACCGAGAATTGTGTCTTCACGGCAAAGATTCCACTGAGACTTGTGCGGGCGACGAGGAAGTGGCATCGTAGCAATTGCATGAGTGTGACCTGTGGTAACCTCAGTTGGGAGAGATGAGTGGCACTTTGTGTGTGTGCAAGGCCCCGCACCCGAACGCTGAAGTTCTAAAAGCGTCATTCATGCCTTTTCAATTTCAACACAGCAAGGTTTAAATGGGACATCATAAACACACATTTTTAAAATTGCTTGTATACAAATATTTGGGTCTACGTTGTCCTTTTCCACCCAAATAAGTGTGAAATCTAACATGCGGTTAAGAGTTTTGTGAGCAGCCAACTTTTGGGTCAAATTTGTTTCCTCCCACGATCTTACAGCTAGGATGGGCAAAGATCCGCCAGTTTCAACCATAGTCATGTCAAAGCAAAAAAACGTACACTGTTGTGTCAAGAAAAAAAAAAAAAAAAAACAACAACAATTTGGGTTAGACATTTTGAACCCACCCGCTAACCTGGGTCGATTTGAGCCAACTTTCTGGGTTATTTTGTTTTGTACCAAAACGACTTAAAGTCGGGTCAGATTGACCCAAGTTGGTGGGTGGGTCCAATTTCTGACCCAGGAGTTTTTAAGGTGCAAGTAGAGCTGCATTCCATTAGACACTTTTGAACGATTTAAAACTGTGAAGATGCCTTTAAGTTCAGCTGGCTGAGGAGTGACATGTCAAGGAGAAAGTAGGTGTAAAAGCACCTACCATGGCATCATGCGTCCAAAACGTGTCCAGGGACTCCGCGAGACCAGGAAGCCCACCGTGGGGTCCGTGACCGCGTCCCAAGCTCGGCCCACAAACAGGATGATTGAGGCGTAGAATGGATCCAGCTGCCAAAAGAGAAGACAATGTCATTGGATGTCATGCTAAATCGAAAAATGCGCTTTCTCATTTTAGATTAGGATGCCTTGTGACCACCACTAAACCGTACTTAGTCTGTGGCTCGGAAGCGCAGCTTGACAGCAGTGAGATGTCAGGAGTGTCTTTAAGCCCTTGGCAGCCGGTTCGGTCCGCCATTCGAAGCGGGCACAAAGAATGTACTGCTCCTCACTGTACGAATTGCGCCACGCTGGGCCGCACAATAGACTCCTGACAACAGTCTTGGTAGGCGAATAAAACACAACAGTGGGGAGCCTTTGACTTTCCACTCCATTACTTGCCACATGGCCTTGACCACGAGATTAGTGTCGGGCCTCATTAAGGCCATGACCACCAGCCACCCACACGTCCTTGTTTATAATACTTGGATTTTATAGTAGTGTAATGGATAACTTTTTCCTTTCATGTTTGGTTTAAAGGCCTGACAAGCATGATCAACTGAAACCCGTTGACCTCCAAGCCGGGATATAAATTCAGGTGTAAAGGGATTTCACAATGTCGACACAAAAGTTTAACACTTGCGCTTACGTTGAGAGCACTTGCCTCTGTCTGAATGACATTGTAGACGTCGCACAGTATCTAATTATGCAGTGGTGAGTGGTCTCGACCAGCAAGGCCTCCTCATCATCACAAGCACTGACCTACATTTACCAATATTTTTTCCATGGAATCGTAATCATCTATTCGCAACAATCTATTCTCTTCATTTCACACCATTTCTCCCCCCCCAACATGGATGCATGTTAAATTTGCTGTCCGTCATGCCTGTACGTGCCGCCAGGTCAATCTAATCCTATTCGATTGGGACAGCATCTTTTTCAACCAAACAGATTTCAAATTCGCCTCAGAGGCTTGCCCACAATAACGACGATATGATTTTAACTGATTTACCAGGTTTGTCGACCTTTCTAATGTAGTCGGGCAAAAATATCTCCGTTCAAGTCCTTTTCCTCAAGCCATGACCACTTGAACGTGTTCCTAACTCTCGCGTCTATTGCACGTATGTCAGCTTGCCTGTCTACCCGTTTGAACATTGCGCTGCGGCCGTACCTGGCCGATCACGCATGAATTAGTTTTCCACAAAACGCTCTTCAAATACTCGACATTCAATGATTAATCT